CTATGGTTACGACATGTTCTACTTTTATTTAATTTTAATCATGGGTGTTTTTTGGTAAAATGAAAATGGTGGGAAGTTTCAATATTGGTTCGTAATTCACAAAGATAATCCTACATTTATAAAAAAAATACGGGCTAGGATGGATGAACTATATTTGTGGTTAGATTTAAAAAAAGAAACCAATAATAATGTAAGAAATTATATGTTTCAATTGCAATGGTGTTAGATATCGGTGGTAGAGACATCCTCTGTTATATATAGGCCTAAAGTCATGTTTTATGTATATATGTATGTATTTAATCTATGTTATATGCTTATACAATATATAAGATCATTTTGCACTTTTCTTTATTCCGTGACGAATATAACGGAACCAAAAGGTATTTACAAACGTGAACCAGACACATACTTGCAAATTAAAATGTCTGGTGACCTATTTCGCATGAAGCGATCGGTTTGTGTACAGAGTATTTGCGGGCTTTTTGTTCAGTAAGATGAAAAATACTTTCGGTAGCCGGGTTTCAAATTTTGGAAACCACTCAGATATTTTACTATAAATTTCAAATCTCCGACTTAGGTTAAGCTTTATATTAACCCTAAAACGGTATTTGAAATGTTTTTTTCTTTTGATACAGTTCTCTTTTATGGGCTTAAAATAACTTTGTGCGTCAACTAAAGTAGGAACATTATGAAGATCGGCGATTTCTTGACCACAAATTGCACTGATTAACCAGCTTTCTATTTATGTCACCTCAATAGTACCGCGGTAGCAGAAAAGTTGACTTGGAATATAAAAATGACTTGTCGATTGTGTTCTAAATAATAAATATTCGTTACAAGCTATAAAACATTCCTTGTTAATTTTAAGTATATATATTTTAAGAATGTTATGAACTTTTTCTTTGTTAAATAAAGTACGAACGTCACATTTCAACAGCCAATAACCGACGTCCCAAACAAAATCGATTTATAATATTTATTCATAATATTTAGGTGATGTTTTGCATTCGCGATCCGGAATTTTTTAAATGTGTCTCAGAACTAGACAGTCGGTTCCATATCTGATTGAAGCATGTTTCATGAGCATAATATAGACGTAAATATTTGTTTATGTTGAAGTAAAGATTGTATGATATTTATTTTGATAATTTCCATATCTTGAAGTCGTCGTAGCCTAAGGGAAAAGACGTCCGGTGCATTCGTATCTAGCGATGCAACGGTGTTCGAATCCCGCAGGCGGGTACCAATTTTTCTAATGAAATATATTGTACTTAACAAATGTTCGCGATTGACTTCCACGGTGAAGGAATAACATCGTGTAATAAAAATCAAACTCGCAAGACTATAATTTGCGTAATTACTGGTGGACGTCTTGTGAGTCCGCATGGGTAGGTACCACCATCCTGGTGCATTTCGGTTTGAAGGATGGGGCAGTCGTTCTAACTATACTTGAGACCTTAAAACTTATATCTCAAGGTGGGTGGCGCATTTACGTTGTAGATGTCTATGGGCTCCGGTAGCCACTCAACACATGTGAAATATTGATCCGTTTTATATTGTCTTCGAACGCATTATACAATATATTGTGCTCCTCATGCGGCCCGTATATCATGAGCCGACATGCATAGCCGGACCGCTGCCAACGGTACCTCCAATTTGGATTTTATTAACCTCATATTTCACAAAACAGAAACGAAATAATACGAAAGAAACTGAATCAAAACTGAAAATTTTTATTATTTTCGTGCTCGGCACAATGACCTCGATTTAAAATATGACGTCCTAGATTCTACTAGATAGATACACTCAAATATTTATTGTTTTTATTTGAAGAAAAATCTAAAATGGCGGGCACAAGGCGAACAATACAATTAAACTAAACCACCCTTTTCAAGTCAGGACGCTTGGCAAGGAAATATTGTAGCGGCTGTTTAAGCTTGTACCTTCGATGACAATAATTTCATGCCGAAGAGGCCGGCATCGTACTCTCCGATACTGCGCGATTTAAGCCATGGGGCATATTATTATTGCCGGTCCATCGTTTCAAACTGCCATTAAAACTGCCGGAACCTACACGGATTTCCCGCAGTCATCTCCTTATTCCTATCTAATGTTCGACATGCAGCAAGATTCTGAAACTCGCCGGAACTGTTGACGCTTGATCTGAGACCCGCTAACGGCAACCTAGCCCGCACAAATGTTTGATTTACTTTAATGTTTTGATCTTTTGCTATGAAATTAACAATGACAAGTAGATGTACTTAAAGCGTTACCTATAAGCGGATTTGTGTAAATAAAACACCTTATTCACTGATATTATAAATTTGAAAGCCTGTTTTGAAGTTAGAAAACTAAACCACACGAATAATAGGAAAGAGTTCGGCTTGAAGTTTTACATACAGATAGTTTGTAGCCTGGTTTAACATGTGGAATGCTTTTAATCATGGTAAATGACATGATCCGGGTTTGAACGTCGGATATTTCGGTTATATTAAACATAGCAGTGTGGTCGCCCAGTTCCCCAAAACAACTGATAGTTTATGAACTAGAGAGTGACACGAGCAACTTTATATCCAGGGAAAATAAAATGTCTTTTTTCTAGATAACAAACTTAACGCGGTCACGTATCGTATCCAGGGGACGGGGCAACAAAGCCGCCGCCGTCGCCGCGTCGCCCAAAACATGTCTTGTTGGTTCCCTGGATCTACTATCGGCGCTTTTGGGCTCTGCAAGCACCAGTCATCGTCCTCGTCGAACTTATCGATTACGACGAGCGAAATAACCCATAGACACTGAGTTCCTCGCCGGATCTTTTCAGTGGGTCGCGATTCCGATCCGGTGGTAGATTTTGCGAAGCACGGTTCTTACTAGGGCTGGTGTTAGCAAATTCTCTCAGGTTGAGCCCACGAGCTCACCTATCCGTCCGGGCGTAACTGTAATAGTCCCTTACGCTACCAGTGAATATGGAGGAAAAAAAACGCAGTCAAAACAAAGATGCGCTTCTAGCACGGTTCACATTGACGTACTTGGATGAAAACTAAATATAATAAACACTAAATAATAATACGCAATGGGAGTGCCGGTGTTAGGGAAAGTCATAATTTGTCGTCGCCGATCCGGCTGAGGATCAACAAGTGATTATAATTACCGCGTCCTGGTTGGTCGTTAATTATTTACAATACGAGAAAGTGTAATTTTTATATGCATGTACTTTATTTTGTAAAAAAATTGTACATTTTACATATTACTTTCAAAGAGTTCATACAGTTACTGCTTCTATAAGATGGCATGCACACTTTGTATAGTAAACATAGGTCTTAATGCATCATAGGATACCTACCTCATACCTACTTATGTTTTGTCTTTTGCATTAACATTCAGTTTCAAGCACGATCGAATGAGACAACGTCTGGTATCACATAGTGTATAGTTACGTTAACAATTTTATGTAAGATGATGATCAAAAGTTAAAGATATTTTTTTTATTAATTCCTTAAGTGTTACTTGTTTAACTGGTTACCTAAGCCCGTGGACATCAAAGCGAGAATACTGCCATACACCTAGCGACTATCACTGAATCCTAACAATGGGTAGAAACAACGGAAGTTGGTTAAAAAAATATCAATTTGTTTTTTTTCGAATTTCTTATTATAAAATATCTTTCGGGATTATGGAAGTATAAAAAAATGTTGGTTGTATAACGGAAGAACAAAAGACGCATTCACAATTGCATTTAAAAATCAATAACAGTATAATTCGTATTTCGTAATACCAAACAGCTGATCACATGTATACACAACAAAAAAAAAAACACTCACCATTTCTGTTGGTTTTCTTCCGGGTTATTTAAGTTAGTTATATCACCGTATCTGCAATGCAAAATACGTGGAAAACTATTTCAAAACAAATCACAGAACACGCTCAAAACAAGCAGATTTGAAAAATAATAAAATAATGTTAGAAAATTAAGGCAGTTAATGGCCCGTAGCACGAATGGAGTGCGAACAAAGGATTGTTGTTTATTTTGCAACGCGACTCACCTTTGCGCTGTGCACTCCAACACTTTCTTCTTTTCCCATCCTTCTTGGGTTTTCACCCATTCCTCTCCCGGTGAACGCCAGTCTTTTGAAATAAAAGGCATCTTTTTGAAACACAACAAATTATTTTAAATTCTATCGCGTATTTATGAGTGCGTTACGCAGCAACGGCGAACGCGTACAACCTCGATGCAAGACAGTCCTATTTGACGATTTGTTTCGAATGTTTGACAGCGAAATGAACTGCGTTGTTTTGTTTTGCGCGCAGGCTCTTTGGAACATATTGCGCAAGTGCAACAGAGAGGCAAATAATAAACGAGATAGCTGCTATGCGCATGGCTTTTGTTTTGATATGACGTCATACGATTCAGTCAGCTGTTTGAACTTTTGTCTATGCATTATGATTCACGCTCCCTTTGCCTGTCAGAAAATCCAAAATAACTTGATTCGGGCAACAACGTATTACAAAAGTAGTACATAGTTATTACAAAAAAAAAACAGTGAAATTGGAGGCCGGAATATTTCCCAATTAAACTAACGAAATTATATTATTTTAAATAAAATAAAAAAATATACGGTTGGCCAATAAAAATTTGATAGCGCTATAGTATCTCTACAAAGAATAAAGTTAAACTTCATCACCAAAATTTTAAAACCAGACAGTCGTGTCATGCATCAGCACACAAGTTATTTATAATTTATTTTCTAGTATTTCATTTATCAATAATATACTTCTTCTAGAGTCTATCTATTTTATATTCAACATTTGAATACGTCTTTAGTATAAGTACATTAAAAATAGGATGTTTTAAATAAATAAAAGCACTACTTTTGACTTAAAATATTTGCTTGGTTTGGTCCTTTACAAGAGAAATGCTACCTACCGACAGCCTACATGACCTGTGCTAGAAAGGACACAACAAAAAAAATCTATGAATATTCATATACACAGTGTATCACTATTTATTGTCTATGGATTACATATCCAAATTTTCGATTTTTGAGGTTACACTATATTTTCGAATAATTTCGAACTACCTAATGAGTCTTGTTTGCATTAATTAATATTACTTGTTATTATCTCTAAAATTTGTTTCCGTAATGGGAGACTCCGCATATAAACCGAAAATCAGTGGTACTCAACAAGATCCAGTGCTCAAGCAGGCCGAAATAGCTTATATGAAATTAATCGAAGAGAGAAATCGCGAACGCGTTCAAAAATTACAAGTGATTTCGAAACGCAATCGACTGACTGGCTTCACGATAGGAGCCGGAGTGTTGGGTGTTTACTTGTATTCTATCTTCGCCATCAAACAGGAGACGTTCCTTGACGATTTCGACGAGCCCCCGAAAATACAGCAGTAATCATGGCCGTCGCTAAAACTGCATTACAGATAAGGCTGCCTCCACTACCAAGCATCAAGGATGTCATCAAACTCTACAAATTACGCGCTTTACGAGAGCTGTCACAGAATTTTCTCATGGAACCGAGACTTATTGACAAAATAGTGCGTGCCTCAGGTAATATTCAAAATCATACCGTTTGTGAAGTTGGACCCGGCCCGGGTGGAATAACTCGGTCTATAATAAGGCAGGCACCTAAGAAACTTGTTTTAATTGAAAAAGACCCTAGGTTTTTACCATCGTTGGAGCTTTTAGCCGATGCTTGTCGAGACAAAGTCGATGTTGACATTATAACGGGTGATATTTTGAAAACAGATTTAAGTCAATTTATACCGAGTGATGCAAAAGTTCACTGGTTAGATCCACCTCCACCAGTTCACCTCATTGGCAATCTACCATTTAGCGTGTCTACAATTTTGATCATAAGATGGTTGGAGATGATATCTAAACATGAAGGACCATGGTTGTTTGGGAGAACAAGAATGACTCTTACTTTTCAAAAGGAAGTTGCAGAGAGAATGGCTGCCCGTATCTTAGATAAGCAAAGATGCAGGTTATCAGTTATGTGTCAATCTTGGTGCACTGTAAAATACAATTTTGATATACCAGGTACTGCATTTTTGCCGAAGCCAGAGGTAGACGTCGGTGTAGTCACTCTAACACCATTAAAACATCCAATAATAAAATTGCCATTTAAACTTGCTGAGAAAGTTGTCCGTCAAATATTTTCAATGAGACAAAAGTATTCGATACGGGGTGCTCAGACGTTGTTCCCAGAAGAAGTGAGAGAAGAGGTAGCTTTAAAAATGTACAACATTGCTGATATTGACCCTGTGACCAGGCCTTTTCAGATAACCAATATGGAATTTGCCAGATTATGTGAAGCATACAATGATATCATAAAGCAACATCCTGAGTTTGAGCATTATGATTACAGAGCACCAAAAAATAAAAATAATCTTATAAATGCAGAGGAAGTTAATATAGAATGTAACATGTGAACTGTAGATACTTTATAAATAAAACAAATTTAGTTTCAGGTCGCTTTTTATTTCACTTTGAAAACAGCCATACAAAATATATACTTCAATTACAAAATACAATGTAAGTTGGTCAAATAAGGTGTCCTAACTTTAGATCTTTCTTTTTAAAGTATTGTTTGATGTTTAAAGTAACGCATTGTTGTCACTGCAGTGCTGGGATATTTAAATTTATTTTTACTATGCAATAGACCATTATAGTTGGTGGGCTGCAACCTGCTGTTATGCAAAAAAATTGACTGACAATTAGCAAGGTCAGCACCACCTGATGGTACTTACGTGCCCATGTCTCTGGGCTTTCACCTGGTAGCTATTATTTTGAGTGCCCATCTAGAGCAGTAAAACAAAACAATGAAATAACCCAAATCAATAGTTATAGATGTACACAAAATTTCCTATAATAAAGCATTTCTTAATCTTGTTTTTGTTCCTTGTTTTGTGACCTCATTTTCTTTAAAACCTTCATGTGACGCACAGATTTTAAATGAATAGCATAAACGTTATCGCCTATTATGATTCGATTACAAATTTCACAAAAATTAAAAGAATTTCCGTCTGTATGCAGTTTATCACTTTGAAGATGCTGTTTTATTGGTAAAACATCAGAATCAGTGCTATTGATGAAACTTTCAATTATTTTAATAGCCTTGTTTTTCACGTTTTCATCCCATTTGGTTACATCTGTAGTGTCCAATTCGTAAACTAAAGGCACCTGTCAACAAAAACAAATGTAATTTGTATGTGAGTAATTATTGAATATTTTTTATAATGAAAAATCCTCAAGGGCGGGCATAGGTCTCTTGAACAATATACCTAATATGATAAAAGGAAATAGTTGACTTCGAGTATATTAAATAGACAAAGTTCGAACTTATTTCATTTAGCTATAGATCGTTTTATGTTTACGTTTTATGTACAAACAAATAAAGCCAAACGACAACAAAATTATTAGAAGGTTAGGTTGGAAATAAAAAATAAATATGAAATTCAAACAGCTTGATAGTTCATAAGGTTCAGTCGAAAATGTAGATGGCGTTATATTTTGTTCTGAAGAGTCGCGATTTTCCAGTCAACAACAGATGGCGCTTTATTAATGACCTGTACGTCTATATGTTTTTAGTAGTACCTTTAGCCATTAGGTGGCGCTATAATAATTTTATTTCTACAGTTTTCAATTAAGATAAATTACGATCGTAAATAATTAACCGACAGCAATATAATATATTCACAATAAAATTAATGAATAACGAAACTGTTATACGTAATAACGAGACGAAACAATTAGTCGTAAACAACAAAAAGTGTATTCTCATGCGAAGCGTTTCTTTCGTATTCACGTTTTACGAACGTATCATAAAATATTAAGCGTTATAAAATCATAAAATGCCGATACACGGATGCCGGTGATGTATCGGCTGTCTGCTTACAAAAGACTTGTGAGTTATAGTGGTTTTCACGTTTCATACCTAGTACAGGTCTCGATTTATTTCCGTAACAATAGTCGACAAATGAAGGGTAATTCAACATTTTCTCTTGTGAAAATAAATTTTTCATTTGCTACTTGACCTAGTTTCGGGCTCACACATTATCTTGTGAATATAAAACGGCTGCTCGATGAAATTTATAGATTTAGAAATACGTGGGATATCTTAATGGTCTTCGAACATCGTTTTTTTTCAATCATGTTTTCATTCAAATAAATTAGATAACCTATAAATATACGTAGCATTTTGTAGGCTAAACGAAACAGTTTTTCTGAGTAAAACAATTTTATTATGCTGCTAGTGTCTGGTTAATGCCACTCAAGGACATCAGCAGTGCAAACCAAAACTGGATAGTACTACACTGTCTCTCTCTAAATAACATTTTTGGGACTTTTTTGCAGTCATTGGAGACAGAAGAGTCTACCATCCGATGTTCATAAGTTCGTGGTGCCACAATTCCAAGTATTGCTTCTTTCTGGCTACGGAAGATATCTATAAAAGCAAAGGTCGAGCGAGAGTTCTGTGTGCGTAGTGCGAGTTTTTTAACGTTCTCGATAGCGTAAAAGTTAACTCTTAATGTTAACGTTTGCCTATGTTTGCCGCTAGGGGCGCTGTTCCAACTGCATACAAATTTGTTAACTTACTCTTAATGTTAACGTTTGCCTATGTTTGCCGCTAGGGGAGCTGTTCCAACTGCATACAAATTTGTTAACTTACTCTTAATGTTAACGTTTGCCTATGTTTGCCGCTAGGGGCGCTGTTCCAACTGCATACAAATTTGTTAACTTTTACGCTATCGCGAAAGTTAATAACTTGCACTAAGCACACTGAACTTAAAACAATCTCTCGCTAGAGCCTCGTCTGGCGATTTTACGACAAGACCTATACTGGTTTATCGAATGTATAAAACAAGGTAATACAAAGTATGATAATGCATTAAGTAAGTGAAATGCATAATCTGCCATCTGCCCTGGAATGGAAGCGGAATAAATACGATTGGTGTAGTTATCGGAAGTATAAACATCACAGGTATTTTTACCTTGTGATAGGACGTCTTGTAAGCTCTTATGGATGGACAACACAACTCTTATCGGCAATCACTTAACATCAGGTGGGTTGTGGACTCGTTAACCCGACGAAAACAATCAAATGGTATCCACGAGTCACTTCAACGATGGAAGATCCTCCTGATCCATTAACATTGCTTTTACGCACCACAAGCACCGGTCACCGTTCAGCGAATTAACCCATAGACACAGCCCACTGAGTTTCTCGCCGGATCTTCTCAGTGGGTCGCGTTTCCGATCCGGTGGTAGACTCTGCGAAGCACTGCTCTTGCTAGGGTCAGTGTTAGCAACAAGCCGGCTTGAGCCCCGTGAGCTCACCTAAGCACTATGCTATCAGCATAGGTAGGAAAAAAAAAGATGGAAGAGAGATTCAGAACGTCACATTGAGCAAGCCCTTTGTAATAAAAGTTTGCGTAATTGTTTTTTCACTTTTGAAGGCAGACCGGCGTACGGCTCACCCGATGATCAGAGGTCGCCGTTGCTAATGGACAACAACGAGATTTTCTTACCGAAATATTACTTACGCTTGCCTTCAATTGCATAATATATATATATTTTATTGCTTAGATGGGTGGACGAGCTCACAGCCCACCTGGTGTTAAGTGGTTACTGGAGCCCACAGACATCTACGACGTAAGAGCGCCACCCACCTTTATATATAAGTTCTAAGTTCTCAAGTATAGTTACAACGGCTGCCCCACCCTTCAAACCGAAACGCATTACTGCTTCACGGCATAAATAGGTAGGGCGGTGGTACCTACCCGCGCAGACTTACAAGAGGTCCTACCACCAGTAATTACGAAAACTAAAATTTGCGGGTTTGATTTATGATTACACTATGTTATTCCCTCACCGTGGAAGACAATCGTGAACATTTGTTGAGTACGTATTTCATTAGAAAAATTGGTGCCCGTCTGATATTCGAACACCGGTGCATCGCTCAACACGAACGCACCGGACGTCTTATCCTTTAGGCCACGACGACTTCCTACAATTGATCCTCACCTCTCTTCTGGGATGTTCTAAAAATCTTTGACGAAACATTTTGTTTTGTCGTCTCGCGTATCTCCGGGTGGCCATCTTCATGTTTTCAATGCTGGTCTTCAGTAGTTTCTTGCCCGCCTCCGAATTCCTTTCGTCTTCGGACATCATCAGGTAATCGTGGAATTCTTTGAAGCCAAGAGTTTGGAAAACGCCTTTGGTGTAGTCTGGTGAGCTGGAACATAGAAATATTACATTCAAAGATCCTGCTTTCGTAGTAGAAATATGCAGGGTAATAGTGACTAGAGCCTAGAATATGCCCAACCAACCAGTTCACTAGTAATTACGAAGTTTAATATTATTTTTATGCCGGTACGAGTATGCCACCTGTCGTCAAATAGCCGAAAGCGGCTATCGAAATTACTAGAACATCGAAAGTTCCTGTTGTTTCAAGGGCGTTTCAATGGCCCCGAGAATGTTCTCGAAATGGGCAAAACAAGTTTTATGTTCTGGAATATTGTAGACATGAACGTGAAGAGTTTTTATTTATTATAAGCCCCAGCTAGCGACATTGTCATAAGCATTGTCCGAGGCAGAACTGCACGGGCTCCAATTAAATGATCATTCGGATGTCTCGCAGAGCTCAAAGAAACATTGTTGTATATTCTGTTCATATAAAGTAAAGTAAAGGCTTGCTGTTTGTGCGGTGGCGAGGACGTTACAAAACGACAGTATCCGCGTGTAAAATGATATCCTCCCGTATTCTTGCCGCTTATGTTATACTGGAAACGTCTGTAGTCTATCGATATTTGTTGACATTAGATTCATAATGTAGCGGACGGTTTCTTGTTTATGTTTTGGGTTTTGAGGAAGATTTAAAAAAAAAAAGATGCATGTCTCGTAGCTGACAGTTTATTGAAAACCATAGATAAAGAAAAATAAAAAAAATTATAAAAATACTAGCTGACCCGGCAAACGTTGTTTTGCCACATATAAGATTTCTAGGGATTTTCTAGTGTAAAAAAAATAAATAACACAACCTCAAACAACCACATAATGCCTCATTATAAAAAAAAAACTGTTCATAAAATAAAAAAAATGTTAGAAGGGACAACCCTTATCACTTAGGGGTATGAAAAATAGATAGTAGCCGATTTTCAGACCTACTGAATATGCATATAAAATTTCATAAAAATCGGTCAAACCGTTTCAGAGGAGTATGGTAACGAACATTGTGACACGAGAATTTTATATATAAAACTAGCTGACCCGGCAGACTTCGTAGTGCCTCAATCGATAAATAAAAGACCTAAACTTTTGTATAAAATCAACTTAAAACAAACAAAAGGAATCCGACGGACGGGCGACACATCAAAGGAAAAACAAAATTGTTATTTTTATTTCATTCTGAGCATTTTCATATTTATCTACCTTTTAAACCTTCTCTGGACTTTCACAAATAATTCAAGACCAAAATTAGCCAAATCGGTCTAGCCGTTCTCGAGTATTAGCGAGACTAACGAACAGCAATTCATTTTTATATATATAGAAGAAGAAGATATGTATATGACAATTGTTGCTTTGCAATTAAACTTTTTACGGGCGTTCTGAACACATAAGGTTTCCTAAGGCAGGCGGCCGCTCGTAAAAGCGCATGCAAAATCTTAATGCGGCATGATAAGAGGACACGGTTTTGGCAGGGGACCGGACTTCCTACGACGTGTCCGCGCCTAGGGGGCACGTAAGGTACGCGGAGCTTCATGGTCTGCGATGTTGGGGGGAAAAGAAGGAGATTCATAAGGTCTCTTAACCAAGGATTCAACTGTGAAAAACGATATCTCTGCGATCACGTTTAAGATTAGACTTTCTTAAAACATTGATTCAAAAAGGTCGAAGTGCCTATATAGACTGTTTTATTCGGTTCGAATACTTTTCGTGGTCAAGGACGTCCTCCGATGTCGCAAAATTTGTTTTATCCCGGTCTCCGGATCGCAAGAATCGAAGAAAACACTCTAAATTAATTGTTCGTTTAGTTTAGGCTTTTAGGGTCTATAATAGGACAAACTTTGACGACTATTATGTACTACCGTCATTTCATTCCCTCATCCTAGCGTCGAGAATCCTCAATGCAGAGGGTCATGGCCTCCGTTAATAATTTCTTATGGAATCTCTTGCGCAAGCTCTGCCTATCCTCGGCTGCGCGGATGGCATCGCGGACTGAGGTATTGAGTAGAGCATATCTGGTCCGACCAGCTTATTGGATTCTACCTGTGAGCCTTCTTTCACATACCTTGCCCGTTACCAGAACTTTTTCTAAATTGTCATCTCTTTCTCTCTCTCTCATTCTTCTGACTTTACAGTTAAGGTTCACATAATTATTATCCTGAGAAAAATCGCAGCCATTAGTCTGACAGTGTCAACTATAATATTGTTATATATATTATATTGTTATTTATTATATTATGTAACAGTAAATTTGACGAGTGAGAGTTATTTAACTGCCACAAATACCAATACACCCTTAAATGCTCTAGATGAGAACTGAGCTGTGGAAGTGATCATTGGATATTGATTGTGATTCTACCGCGGGCCAGATATTCGATTCAAGACAGAGTCAGTATCTCTGTGAAATACCTTTGCATGCTTGTTTTCGTATGGTAAGTTTTTTTATTTTTTATTGATTAGCTGGGTGGACGAGCTCACAGCCCACCTGGTTTTAAGTGGTTAGTGGAGCCCGTAGACATCTACAACGTAAACGCGCCACCCACCTTGAGATATAAGTTCTAAGGTCTCAATATAGTTACAACGGCTGCCCCACCCTTCAAACCGAAACTGCTTCACGGCAGATATAGGCAGGGCGGTGGTACCTACCCATGCAGACTCACAAGAGGTCATACCACCAGTAATACGTATATATGTAAGTATCTGTACGTTTCTGATATACGTGGAATTGCAAATCTTAGTCCGTTGAATATGGAAAGTTTAATTTGCTTTCGTTTTCGTCATGAATACTCTGGACATAGTTATCTAGATAAAATTCTAATATGAATTGTACAGATAAACGCGCTATATTTCGTATCTGTAATTTCTTCCACAGTGAATATTTTCACATAGACGCTTCCAGTATTAAGGTTGGCGCATTGTCGCTAATGTAAATAGGGATCCATTCTGTGGTCAACGTAGGGCACTCGCTACCGAACTACGCTCGGATTTTGTACATAGAAATGCTCATAGAAATCTAGCAATCATGATACTTGCGTCCTTTCGGGACACCTAGTTCTTTAGTTTGACGCAAAATTATTATTATGCAACAATTCATTGTGTCTATTTTTAATTTATTTGGTTTGTATTTTAACGTGATAATGATAAAACTTTAAGCCCGTCGTACACTGGTCAGACGGGGGATTCCAAATCAGTGTCGGGCTAATGTTATATTGATGATAATTGCATGAAATAGTCACTCTGCGACGCATCGGTGATGTTAATCACGGCCAAGTGTCGGAGAAGAATTTCCGAAGTCATTAGTGATTCATTTTAAACGCACATTTTGATGATGTATTATTAACTAGAACAAGACTTTTGATTCTGTAACACCCTGGAAATGCGTGGATCTGCTTAGAACCTTCTCGAAATCGAAACAAAAATTAATTTATTGAAGTGAAAACTTCTTTAGAATCGTTGTGATTTCAAACCGGATGCAACGGAAAAAACGACAGGTAAGAGACACAAATACAAAAATGTGTAGGATGAAGCCAGCAAAGAATGAGACAGAAATATACATACTATTTAATACAGCGCCATCTGTGAGATTTTTTAATACTAACGTGTGTATGAAAGCTCTTGTAGTGAATTTTAATTTAGGATTATACGTGAAATTAAAATATCAATTCACAGAGGGTGCTACCTTACAATTATTTACTAATGACAAAATTTCACATATACTTAAGACGTTTAGGATAATTGTATTTTAATTTTGGAAGGTTTCACTTCTACCACGTGTGAATTGCACACATTTGGTTTTTTTATTAATAATTAATAAAATAATTAAACTAGACAATATTTTTGACCAAACGTTTGTCGTTTATTTATTTCGATTTATCTTACTAAGCACCTGGATTGCCTAACTTTGCCTTCTTCTGTTTGCAAATGTATGGTTAGTCTTTGAGGTTTCTTAGAATTCATTCATTCATTCTCATTATCTTCGGCTTCGTCTGACCCAGAGTCTATTTGATATTCCAGCGCCTTAGTAACAGAAATCAACATAATTACTTCAGTGCGCCATGTGACCGGTCACCGATGACCTACCTTCGTATCAAAAGGTTAATAATATAGTTATTTTGCTTGTACCGACATTATTACGCAACGCCGCATGATCAACTCAGTATACGCGCGTCAGCTGACTTTCTGTAATGATACATTGCGTAGCTAGCTGTTTTTGGTCCTTGACTTATATTGACAGACCGTTTTTCTAGTTTTTTTTATTCATTTGGTATTTTTTAAAGATTTTCAACACGATGAATTTACACATTTAAGTTTACACATTTTACTGGTGCTAGGACCTCTTGTGAGTCCGCACGAGTAGGTACCACCGCCCTATTTCTACCATGAAGCAGTAATGAGTTTCGGTTTGAAAGGTGGGGCAGCCGTTGTAACTATACTGAGACCTTAGAACTTATATCTGAAGGTGGGTGGTGCATTTACGTTGTACCTAGATGTCTATGGGCTCCAGTAAAACCACTTAACACCGGGTGGGCTGTGAGCTCGTCCACCCATCTAAGCAATAAAAAAAACAAAACTGTTTATTGAACAATTTGCGGGTAGACGTTAAAATTAGCATTAGAAAACTCACATTTCCGACAATAACCATTACGTTGCGTGTCTTATTTTGACTGTCATTAATTTCGTGTTGTAAAACTGAACATATTAAGTTTGAAAAGAAAGGGTCGAAGAATGACCTCCACGCATTACTTATTCAAGACACGACCTCGAGGAGGGTGTAAATAATAATTAAGAAGGGACGCTAGCACCCTCACCGTCCGTGGAATACTAAAGTACAAGGGCGCTGATGTTTCCTTTTCTGTGTTTTGAAATTAAGAGCAAAATTGTTTTAGCGTTCTATTTGCGTGTGTCACTTTTGGATGAATGTCGGACCGCATTTTTTTATTTACTATGTTTTTTTCTTAAAAGTAAAATCTCAACTGTATTTTTTAATAAATATATTGAGTATCAATTTGAAAAGCATCCGAATTTTCTGTGTAGATCGAAATTTCATTGATCAACGAATTCGGTTAATGAGCGTTCTATCTTTAGTGAAGATAGACAGAGCCGATAGGAACCGTCGATAGGTTATTGGAACACAAGTAAGGACAAAAGGATAGATTTGTCTATCTTTAGTAACCGAAACTAGGGATAGATAGGTTTATTGAAAACGGCCGTAAGTGTACTTGAGATATTTGAAGATTTTTCAACATTTTCTACTTCGTGATATATTATTTATTTTTGTTAAATTATTCTTTTCATTCAGTTTAATTTCAGAATCAGTTACCGCTCTGAGAAATTATTGATAAAAATAATATATTTTTAATGTAAACAATATATCGGCTCGTTGAAGTAATTAACTATGGTTAGAATTCAAAGCTTATAAAGCTTTAAATATTATTATAACTTGTATTTTTTTATTGTTAAACTGGACGGATGAGCATGAGCTCATGGACCATGATACCCACCTGGTGTTAAGTGTTCATTGGGCCCCATAGACACCAACCATGTTAACCGGCTTTGAGAAATGAGTTCTACGTGTCAGTTTTTACAGTACAACGGCTGCTCCACCTTTCAAACAGAGACTCATAACTGTTTTACTGGTAGAATTAGATGCGGTGGTAGTATCTATCCGTGCAGACTCATTAGACCTACCACCAGTAAAAAGTTTTCTAACTTCTAACTAAATTTCATCGATTGAGTTTAAATATGGCGATATCTACAAGTTTATAAGTGAAAAGAGCAGCTTTTCCTCATAATATTTGTCTAGAATTTACCGCGGAAAACCGTGTAAGGACTAGTTATTAATAATTATCATACCCGATCCTATGGACCGCATGGTAAACAGTCGACGTCGCCCAAAACAAGTCATTTCGGATTCTCCCGATCCACTAACGGTGCTTTTAGGTACCTCAAGCACCGGTCGTCGAACCCGTCGCTTGCGACGAAGGGTTCAGCGAGTAAACTAACCCACAGACACAGCCCACTGAGTTTCTCGCCGGATCTTCTCAGTGGAACGCGTTTCGATGGGTGGTAGATTCTGCGAAGCGTTGCTCTTGCTAAGGCTAGTGTTAGCAACGTTTGAGCCCCGTGAGTTCACCTACACGTTAGGGTTACGCTGAGCTAGCCTCTCAAGGCTATGCGTAGATAAGAAAAAAATAAAAATAAATATATAAACTTATTATGAGTAATGCGAGTATCAAAACTGTTTTGTCGCCACGTAAATACTAAATAGTATCCATGCGTGCGGTGTAACGTGAGATCTTGGACAGCCACAGCTCCGAAAGAGATTTCGTGCGACGGACTTTTCGTTTTACGGTTTCAAATTATACGTATTAATTTGAGGCACACTGCACGTGGGAGGCGATAGGAGAGTGTCATGTAAAATATGTACAATATAACTGCGCAAGCGCGAATTGTTGTCAAGCGAGAGACATTAGGAGATTCTGTTTCTTTCAGTGTTCTTAATTCTCAATTTGGACAAAATCGCATTTTTTTTAAGTTCGTAATTCTACACATTGTGAGTCCACACGGGTAGGTACCACCACCCTGCCTATTTCTGCCGTGAAGCAGTAATGCGTTTCGGTTTGAAGGGTGGGGCAGCCGTTGTAACTATACTGAGACCTCAGAACTTATATCTCAACGTGGGTGGCGCATTTACGTTGTAGATGTCTATGGACTCCAGTAACCACTTAACACCAGGTGCGCTGTGAGCTTTTCCACCCATCTAAGCAATAAAAAAAACACAGGCATTCATAGTTTTGAAGTGAAATGTGGTACCGTACTTTATGGCGCTGTTTTATAAATCTTTCCACTTGCTACTGTGGCGCCACCTTAATTGGCTCTATTTCAGTGGACACTTTATACTTACTGAGATGGTACTCCTTAGTTCTACCCCCCATAGTCCCATCTTTGAAATTGGAACGCATAACGTTTGTGACGGATGTGAAAGCGTTATACGTTACAAATTAGGCCAGGGCCCTGAAACTGCGATACTTTAAGACAAATATTTTTTTGTACGGAAACTAGCGACATCTTGTAGCGGATGCCCCTAAACTTATTTGTTGTTAAAGTTAAGGCAGACAAGTAATAAATCATACAAGTCTTTATTTGTTATACGATTAGACAAATTGATTAAATTTTATCAATTGTGGTTTCTGAAAATTTACAAAATCTTTCATTAAAAATAAAATATAGCATAGGTAGTTTGTTACTGCATCCAACAAGAGCAATGAGAAACTAATCGAAGCGAAGCCATCTAGTGGCCGACGCCCGTAAACATTATTGTTGAGTGCCTGAGTTGCTTATCTGTAACTAATTTATGTGTATTATCTATGAATTAGGCTTTGTTCACCGACTTGTGCAATTAAAATAAACCAAAGCGCTTTAGCTACATAAATATAAATGCAAACTAAAGTGTTTATTGCCATCTAATTCTAGTTCATCGCGTTAAATTGAGTGGAGCGGCCTTTGTTATGCCCGAGCGTAATATCGATTCGACTTCCGGGCTTGATCCGTGATTGGGGAGCGGGACATTCCCGGGATTTTAGTGCCCGCGATTCCCGGAATCCGGGAACGATTACCGGTCGTCGTGGATCCTGCGGTAATTCCGGCAGGAACGTTAATTTTGTGCAATTAATTTGTAAACATATAATATTTCTTCAGTAAAACTGTATTTTATGTATACACTGTTATTGTTAGGATGGTTTGTTTATGAGCGTTTCCCAATATACCTATTTAAGGAACGAATCAAATATATTAAAGTCTTTGACGTGTTCTATGAAACACTATTACAGCGGTGGCTATTATAGAGCAGAAGAAAGGCGGTAATATTTACTGCGATCTATGATCGAATCCCATCAAGGATATCCCTATGCTCGGTGGAAGATGGAAACTTCGTTGTTCATTCACCAACCCTGAGGTGATGAAAAGTCGTTAGCGCGATTCCGGTTTTTTCCGGATTAGTTCATCTCTACGACGGCACCACATTGTCCTACCTCCCGTCCTGTATCCGTTGCCTGTTATGCCTCTCGTGGAAATCCAGCAGCTCCTCAATGAGGCCCGCATCCAGCATTGAGTCGACGCGAGCGTCCAGACGTTTATCGTGGACATCCTGAAACAAGATAAAAGTAGCCACTACAGATATTTTACAAGTGAATCTTCTTCGCCGCACTATGTATAAAATTTTGATGTAATTTTCTCTGTGGTCAACGCTACGACATGGGTCCTTGACCAGAAATTTGTTGACATCACGGAGAAGGTGTCTGTCAGTATTTATACTCACTAGTGGTCGATCAATAGTCGAAATTCGACCATAATTAATTTAATTATAAGATTGAATATTGTTATGATTCTATTGTCAAAAACTTTACTTCTATAATCAGAGATTTCGCCAGGGCCATACAAATAATATTAATCTATCCTAAATTTGACCACAGACTTTAACAATAAACAAACCAGTGTGCATGCGTGTGTGTCAAATACACGGTAGTGTGTGTAATGTTTTTATTTATTTATTTATTTAATGTATTTTTTAATCATAATTTAAAAAAAATATTAGCATTCTGCACTTCTTTATAAGTAAGGGAAATTTCATACTTCTCCGTCCGCGCAATTTTCGTAAAAAGGGGTGCAAAGTTTTTGCTTTACGTATTAATATATAGATTAATCGTCACAACAAAACGTGTCCCGTGTTCACGAGCCGGCTTATTGACGCTAAAGGATTTGGAATGAACTCTTGTCATCGTCGCAGACATTCGAAAGTTATTATCGGAAATAGAAAGTGCATCAGTGACGTAAAAATAGAAGTTGTTATTATATCTAGATTTGTTTTTGTACATGGCGTTAAGTGTTTTTTTTTATTGCCTTTGTAGGCAGACGAGCGTACGGCCCACCTGATGGTAAGTGGTCGCCTATGTACCGTCGCCCATGGACTTCAGCAATGCCAGGAGCAGAGCCAAGCCGCTGCCTACCGATATATTGACGTGTGTATTGGGGAATGTTACACGTCATTTCGGATCCTCTCGATTCACTAACGATGCTTTTAGTTACCTCAAGCACCGGCCAAAGTTTTCGTCGAGCCTGTCGCTTGCGACGAAGGGTTCGGCGAGTAAACTAACCCATAGACACAGCCCACTGAGTTTCTCGCCGGATCTTGTCAGTGAGTCGCGTTTCCGATCCGGTGGTACATTCTGCGAAGCACGGCTCTTGCTAGGGTTCGTGTTAGCAACGCCCTCAGTTTAGAGCCGCGTGAGCTCCCAAACTGGCTCCGTTACGATGGCATAGCATCTCATGGCTACCAGCATAGGGAGGAAAAAAAGGGGCATGTGAACATAGCAGCATGCTATCATCAAGCTTGAGAAATGAGGTCGATGTTTCAACTGCACGGTATGCCGACTGTTGGACTCTTCGAACAAAATTTTCATTAGAACAGAATTTCCATTGGAGAGAAAGTTTTATTTATTTATTTTTCACCCAATGGCAAAGAATCGCGAACAAACATTTGTCGTTCATTAATTATTTATTTAGAATAGGCAACAGAACGAATCTCGAATTTCTGTTTCCGTTGAGGGAAAGGACGTCAAAAGATGTCGCATGCAAAAGGTGCATCTTCATTAAAAGAGGATTAACTTCAGTTGCCAAACAGATTCTAGATTCGTGCATCTTAAGTTCGCAACAATGTTTCATGCATATTTAGTCAGTCAAGTACTGTGTCCAAACAATGTACCTATGTCATTTTTAGAAAATTTCAACCAACAAAATGATAATGATGGGTAGAGTGGGTTCATCATCATCATCATCATCAACAGCCCACAGTCGTCCACTGCTGGACATAGGAGTGGGTTAGTCGGTTATTATTGATGGTAGGACCTCTTGTGAGTCCGCACGGGTAGGTAACACCAACCTGCCTATTTCTGTCGTTAACCAGTAATGCGTTTCGGTTTGAAGGGTGGGGCAGCTGTTGTAACTATACTGAGACCTTAGAACTCATATCTCAAGGTGGGTGGCGGCATTTAGGCTGTAGATGCCTATGGGCTCCGGTAACCATTTAGCACCAGGTGGGCTGTGAGCTCGTTCACCCATCTATACAATAAAAAATAAATAAATAAAATGGTAATTTGATATAAGTACCTAATCGACACTTTTTTTATTGACCCAGTAGGCAGACGAGTGTATGGCCCACCTGATCGTAATGAGTACCTGAGTACCTGAGTAGTGCCAGGGTCAGAGCCAAGCCACTGCCTACCGATCTTGATCTCATGTTTCAAGATGGTTGACGGTTTTTAAGGATCTAGCGTCGGTAGCTGTCGCAACAGATTCGATGGTTCGCTGATGTTGCCTTTTCTGCGGTGGAACTGTTTTGGGATCTGGTTCGAGGATATGACAGCAGTTACGGTTCAGTTTCAAGCTGATATCGCAAGGACAGCACGATAGTTATGTCCATGGACTCCAGCGACCGCCACACTTCGTTTTGTATGTGAATTCCTTGTTTAAAAATAGAGGAATAGATGAACAAAAGTATTGGCGCAGTTATAATTGTTTTTGGAGTTAAATTAGTTCTTGAGATTTTTTATGTTCTTTTTCTTCACTCTATTGTCAAAGTTCAAGTATCTAAGCTAAGTAATTGTAATGGATTTAAAAAAATATGTATATATAAAAATTATAAAAGTACCCCTTTGCATATTTTATATTTAATAATATTGCCACTTTAAGATTACTCGTGCGTTAGTGCGACACGAAGATTTTTCTCAATAAATTTAATTAAATAATTAAGCTTAAAACAGTACGTACGCCGCTTTCCTTTGAAAGGCACTATGGGCGCTCCTGTTATATACATTTATGTACTGTAATTGCACGTGTGTGAGTCACGAGTTCCATGTGCACCATTGTGTTGCATTATATGAGTTGAACTAAGATTTATTTATGAGGTTTAACCACATAATTGTATTTGAAGGATTTTTATTAAAGAAATGTTATTATGATATTGGTGAATTTTTAAATGATAGTAATGTAATATGCAATTGATTAGATCTATTATTTTATGTTTTTTATGGATTATAAATGTAATGTTTATTACTGTAAAGTTTGTTACTGGTGGTAGGACCTCTTGTGAGTCCGCACGGGTAGGTACCATCACCCCTATTTCTGCCGTGAAGCAGTAATGCGTTTCGGTTTGATGGGTGGGGCAGCCGTTGTAACTATACTGAGACCTTAGAACTTATATCTCAAGGTGGGTGCGCATTTACATGGTAGATGTCTATGTGTTCCAGTAACCACTTAACACCAGGTGGGCTGTGAGCTCGTCCACCCATCTAAGCAATAAAAAAAACGGCTGGACCGATTTTAATGAATTTTTTTGTATGCCTATGGTTGGCGCCCTGGATGGTTTAGATTCACAAGTCAGCACGACAGATGGCGCTGCAGTCGGTATCTAGGTTATTTAACTATACTGCAACTAAGCGGTTGGATCGACTTGAATGAATTTTTGTGTATGCGTTCACACGACAACGTCTGTCGGATCCGTTAGTTCGAATATATAATTTGACACTGAGAGTCAGACGGACATGAAAAAACCCCAAGAGAGCTTAGCGGCAGCAATAGGAAGCTTCATTACAGTTTTTAATAAGTAAAAATAGAAAAACAAATCGTACATGACATTCTAATATAAAATAGCATGAATTGTTACTAAAACGTAAAACTTCTTAAGAACGTACCGTGATATTTGATTTGTGACTGATTATTAATATCCCGAGGTGAGCTACACCTGCCAGCAGAGATCTAAACATGAAATAATCATGAATATATTTTTTATTCAAATGATTCAATAAAATTATGATTTCGTCTCACTTTTTTTTTTACTTCATTTTAAAATATCCGTCGTTACAAATAATTCACGGTTTTAGCATTGGCTGGTGACGCGATGCGGAATTAAAATTTAGCATCGTTTTAGTGATGGATTTATAAATCTATATGCAAATTTCAATCAAATATCAATAACAATAATAACTGGGAACAAAATACGCACGGTCATCTGACTCCAAATAAGGATTCCCTGCGGTATGGGTACCAGAGACTGATATAAATATTTATATACCTTCAATTATCATTCTTTTCCCCTTCTCCCAGTCACCTGAGGTCGGCGCAACATGTTTTCTCCTTCCATACTCCTCTATCATATACCATTTCTTCGCTCACTCCCACGCAATCCATCCATTTCTTTTTAGGTCTACCTCTTCCTCTATATCTTTCCACATTCTTAGTTAACACTTTCTTACCAACCTCATTTCTATTTCGTCTCATCACATGTCCATACCATCCCAAACGCGCACTTCTCAGCTTCTCTGTCACAGGTGCCAGTTTCAGACTTCCTCTAATATACGTAATAACTTATATACGTTGAAATATACATATATAGATTATAAACAACCAGACAATAGAGCAAACAGACGTGTTCATTAGACAATGTTTGCTCGCTGTGAGAATCGAACCCACGACCGGCGGAACAGTCAGGGTCGCTTACCACTAACCACTGAGTCACTTTAGTTACATTTACTGATGGTAGGACCTCTTGTGAGTCCGCGCGGGTAGGTACCACCGCCTTACCTATTTCTGCCGTGAAGCAGTAGGTCTGAAGGGTAGGGCAGCCGTTGTAACTATAGTGAGATTTTAGAACTTTGATAGTATCGTTTTAATTTTTATTATCATCACACAACTATCCTACGTCACTGTCTCTATTGGTCATGGTTATGTCATTTAGGTTAAACCATGCCACTCCATAATTCAGGTATTGCATGCGTTAAATATATGCGTTGTTAATGTTATATAGTGAATGCGTGTGACTTTTCCCGTTAACTTAAATAAATAAAAAAATAAAAAAAAACTGGACATTTAGTTTGTATGTCTTTGGTGCCAATGTTCGAACCGATAGATACATTTTAGGATACATTAGCAAAGTATATGGAAATGAAACATTGCTGTACTGCAATACTATTATTCATCATCAGCCTGTATCTATCCACTGCTGGATGTAGGCCTCTCCCGTAGTCCGCCACAATGAACGATCCTCCACCTTCCGCATCCAATCTTTCCCAGCATATCGGCGCAAGTCATCGG